GTTTAACATTTTGTTGAATAACTCGTCAGCCAGTGATTGGAAAAGGATAAACTACCACCATTCGATTCGTCTCAGTGAGACGATTCTAACAAGCTATGATACATCTTTGTACGATTATTAGATGCCAAGTTATTTAATATATTCTTTATATAACTGTGATTATAAACGGTTCTTTTTAATATAAGGATAGGTGTGATAGTGACTATAGATAGATTGTGACTATATAGGATAGATTTTAATAATAAAGTGTTTTGAACATTCAACTGGTGTGACTATATAGTAGAATGTGACTATAACGGGAGTGACTATAGAGGGAGTTGACTGTAATAAGAAAATTTCAGAATTAAACTTTTTTTACTAATATATTATTAATAAAAAACCATATTTTCCTAATAATTAGACCAATAGACATTTAATTATAATAAAATCTCAAATTTGAATTTTTTAGCCTATCCCCCCTTTAGCTACGGGTGTCCTCATATGTAAGTAAGCGTGATTATAATAGGACATAATCGCATCTATAATAAAGTATAAAAAAAAAAAAAAAAAATTATTATTATTATATATAATTTATATAATTTTATAAAAATTATATATTTATATATTGTATACTGTAATTACAGCTAAAATTTAATATTATATTTAGAATAAATTAATGGTTTTTTTTTAATTGAATTTTTCTAACTATCACCAGGAGTGATGATTACTGGTGATTAAAATTATAATGATTGACTAGTATTAAAAAAATACACAGGTCGAAAAGTGAAAAATCAGGCATCAATCAGTCACCAATCGGTCACCAATCAGGTATCTGATTGGTGACCGATTGGTGCCTGATTTTTCACTTTTCGACCTGTGATATAGTACCAGTAAAAATTAATAATTCTGCCAATAGTAATGATCAGTTGATCACCCTTAGTGATTTGAAATAAAAAACTTTAGTATAAATGTACTTTTTTTGAAAAATCTTTTGTTTAAACAAATTTTAAAAAAATTATATTATTGAATTTAGTATAATAAAAAATTTTTTTTTACTGAATATTTGGTATAACTTAGTATTTAAACGAAAGGTTTATTTTATTAAACTCTAACTGTAGTATAAATATTAAAAAAAAATATATTAAATCTTATAAATTACTGCAAATTTTTTAATAAATTAAATTTTATTTTTAGAGTAATTATAGAAATCAATATTTTTAGTTGCAACTAGTAGTAATAGATTTTGATCATTTATAATTCATTCAAACTATTTTAATAAAAATAAAAAAAATAATAATAAATAGTAATACTTTAAAAATATAATATTACAAGTCTACAATATTAATTCAATATTATGAATATAGATCTTTTGGTATTAATAATGCTATTGAATAAATTAAATATGCATTAATTAAATGTAAGAGTTTTTTCTCATAAATAAATAAGTATACTAAAAATCAATAAAATGCTATAAGTAAACATTATTACCCTAATTTTATTGGTAATATATTTATTTTTTATAATATGTATTTGCAGTATTTTCTCTACACCAATATAAATACAGTATAAATACTATTGTGGTCTTAAAGATTATCATCTTAAGCTTTAAATTTTGGAATCAGAATTATAGTGAAATTATATAAGGAATGAATTTCTTTATTTCAAAATTAAATGCATCTGAAAGTTGTAATCTTGCTGATACATTAAGGAATAAACTGACCAGGAAGAAAAGAAATTTAAATGAGGTTTTTTCTAACATTATTATTAGTTTATAATGATAAATCTCAAATCAAAAGTCATGCAAATGTAATGTTAATGTATTTTAGTTAATCATTATAGAAAATGGGATAAAAAAAAATCAATAAATTATTTCTTTAAAATTGGCACTCAACATCTTATAGTTTATAGAAATTCCCAAGTGCTTTACCATGAAAATTGACTAAAATCAAGATGTAAGATTAGTCAATTGTATTATTCAAATTTCAAAATTTCTATACAACTAGCCCAGCTGACCGGCAATTTTTTACGTCACGTGATCGCTTTTAATTCATCACACGTCTGAGTTTCACTATTTATATTTAACTGAGTAGGTAAAAACTTATTCGTCACCCGTTATTTGTCACAGTTTATTTTCACGTGTTAGTGCAAAATTTAGTTTTTCTACACTAATTACTGCGGTTGTCGATCATGTGCTTTACCATACTTTTTTAATAAAAACATTAACGATAAATGTTTTTCGACTTTATATTCCAATTACTCGTTTCATTCTCTTACCAATTTTTCGAGTATGACGTCTTGGCATATCCTATGAGAGAGATATCGGCAAAATGCATAACCTAAATCAAGCTAAAGTAATAATGAAGTTATGTTATTTCTGCTAAAACTTATCGATAATTTATTAAAAATTATCTAAATTATCTAAACATAACAACGAATTCTAATTAAAATATAAAGTGAATTTTGACCAGATTACTAGTATAGTTAATGAGTTTATTACGATATTGATGATAAAATTATTGTTCTTCAGATTTTATGCATTAAATCTTTATAGGGGATATAATAAATATTAAGAGATGATAACAATGATAACATTAAAATGATAGGATAAAAAAAAAATAGATCTCTTAAGTAATTATTTTAACAATTTCCATTGATAAAAAGAATTACATTATGAATTTTTATTATATTTAATTTTTAATTTTTTTGAATATCACATTTAATGAAAAGAATCCGATAGACAATATATATAAATTAAAAAACTCTGGATACGTGTTGTATGCCACTGCCTCGAATTACTCCGAATTATCTAGCCCATTCTAGAAACCTTTCAAAAGCTGTATCTTCATTTTATATTTTTCTTGTCTTACTTTCCGTTTCAAAAATTAACATACGCCATAACTTCTTTACAAATAGCTCGGATTCCTCATCTAAAGTCTGTATATAAATCAAAGGATATAAAAAGTCAATGATTTAGCTTGTTAATTACTCTTTGATATTTAATGCAACATACCATCATCATTTCTTTGGTTAAGTCTTCAGCTGGCTTTTTATTACGTAAATGATCAATAACAAAAGAGACTAATTCATCTTCTTGTACGCCGAGATATTCAACAATTTTTTTACTTACAAATGGCTGTAACTTTTTGCTAAGAATATTCTGTTGTGAAATAATTATTATTTATGTTAATAAAAACAAAAATTTTTTTAAAAAAAGGAAGAAAACTATGAACCACATATGAAATTTACCTCATCTAATTCCTCCCATTTAACATTCCAATTCCAAAGTCCTTCTTTATCCGTTGGTATAGTTGCCACTAATTCTTTAATTTTCTTTTTCCTTTCTTCGGTTTTGTTTTCATCGTCCTCATTATCACTATATTCCAAAGGAACTAAAATTCGACGTTTACGTTTTGATTCAATACCTTCTTCATCGTCAAATTCCTCATCTTCAGCTGGGGCCATTAATGCCGCGCGACGTTTTGATGCAAGATTAAGAGTTAGCTTTGGTTTAACGCTATTATTTTGTGAAGTACCATTTGTGGCAAGCGTCAAAATTTCTTTTTCATTATTTAATTCAGCTTCCATAGCTTCTTCACGCTGTTTTCTTTCTTCCTCAAGCGTCTGTAATCGATGTTGCTCAAGCTCAATTTCCTGCTGTTCTCGCAACCTATCTGCCTCATCCATAGCCAATTCACGTGCTCTGAACTGTTGTCGATGGAACCACCAACGAGATCTACATAAATTATAAAAAAGTTATAATTTCTCCGTTAAATTGATTACAAGATGAATGTGATATATACCTGTCTTTGTAATATTCTTCTTGACCTCTATCAGCTTCAATGTCATCGTCCCATTCCGCTAACTTCCTCGCCATTATTTCCCGATCTCGAATTTGTTTTTCTCTAATATCTAAATCTCGTTCTGCTTCACGTTCACGATTTGTTGCCATTGTTTCTTCTCTATGTTGCCATCGTCTTTCCCTCTAATATAAGATAATTATTATTAAAATCAGTATATATAATCCAAAAACAAAATTTTAAATAATTTAATATACCTCTTTAAAAGCCATTTCCATTTCGGTTTTTCTTTTAGCTTGTCTACGTTGTTCCTCTTCTTCATCGTCTAAAATATAAGATTCACGTCTTGATTCTCTTGCAGGAACAAAATTTACTGGTTGATGATAATGTCCATATTGCCGATCTCGATCTCTATCACGATCCCGCTCTCTTTCTCTCTCACGTTCTCTCTCTCTATTTTCCCTTCCATGTGAACGCTCTCTTTCTTTTTCAGCTTTAGCTCTACGATTTGCTCGTTCTTCTTCTTCTCTCTGGCGCTCTCGCTCTCTTGCTGCAGCACGTTCTCGAAAGAATGCTATTTCTCGGTAAATAAGATCCTTTTGATCTGGAGGAAGATCAGCCGGTAAATCTGTGTCATCATCCTTTTCTCCATGTTCTGTTTTTATTTCTGTAGCTGGTGATGTTCGAAGAGCTAGTTTATTTTCATGATGAGAATTTATTGAAGGTGACAGATCTCTTCTATCCTGTGGCTTAGTCATGTCTTCAACAACGATTATAACTGATAACAAGGCATTTTTATCTAACTCTGTATCATGCTGAAAGATAATTATTGACATCAATTATGATAGCTAAAAAAAAAAAGAAAAATTATTTCTATAGTTTAATACAGACCACCGTTCTTGGCCTTGAAGCCTCATATTGATCAAGATATTTTCTTGTATTCTCATCGGCTTTAACCTATAATATATGTGGATAAAATGTTATTTAGATGAGGAATTAGGATTAAAAAGCAATTTATCAAGAAATGATTGCTTACTATTAATTTTTTGCCATTAGCACCTTCCTCCAAAGCAGGAAGAACAACTCCCTTGTCTTTTTTATCATCACCCGAACCTTCACCACCAAGTACACGCAAAGCACGCAGTACACTATCAGCATCAGCATATTCCGCAAATCCAAAACCCTTTGGATTTCCGGATTGGTCTTTAACTCGCTTCCAAGATTTTAATGTACCACAAGTCTTTGCAATCGCCAGATAAGCAAATCAAAAAAAAAAACCAAAAATAAATTGTCAGCTAAAGTATTTGATAAAATCACACCTGAAGATGTTCATGCGCCCAATAAGCGCATTAAAGCTTTCAAGACTAAGATAAATTCGAAAGCTATCTGGGAAAAAAAATTTTTAGCATCCAAAATAATATACGTTTTAGGTCGTAAGAAAATTATACAAAAGTTTTTTCTTAATCGCACCTCCAAATATTTACGCCTTCTTTTAAAGCTCCAAGGTTCATAAGAATCCAATTTGATAATATAGTGTTCATTAAAATCTCCATCCCTTCGATTGGAAAATCATCGTCAACTTGTTGACAAGTATCGATATATAGCATTCATTTGCCCACCAAAAAAATTAAATAATTGATCACTACCTTAAGAATTTTTTCCATCCAATCATCAGTTACTCCCGGTGATATCCCTCCAATGAAAAGAGTTGTCAATTTTTCTACTTCTGAACCTGGGGCTGCCATTGGTGATATACCACCCAAAGGTATACCATAACCTGGTCTAGGAGCCATATAAGCTGTACGTTGTGTGGGAGTACCAGAAGTATAGCCACCCCGCGAGGTTTGTCCATAGGTAGGAGGACCGCCTGGTGGAGTAAAAGGTGGTCGTTCGTAAGGAGCTCGATATTGAGCTATGAAATAACAGTAAGTAAAATATTTAAATGTAAATATAAATGAAGAAATCAGAACGGGAACTCTACCATAATGTCCTGGGCGGTAAGGATCCATTGAGTTATATATTTCGTGACAGGTAATTAACACAAATAAATCTATAAAACTTTTTTTTAAATCTTTATAATTTTAAGAGTTGTTTATATAGGATTTCTGTTGAGTGACGTAGTACAAGTTTTAATTAGTCCATATTATTAATAATCACGTGATTAAATGTAACTTAGAAAGTTTTGATCACGTTTTTTTTTTGTGTCCGTACACAACATATTTAAACATGGTTAGCACAGAATATAATTTGTGAAAATCATATCTTTAAAATTGATTCATCCGCAAATTTAATAATTTGGCGTACTTTCTCATCTATTTTTTTTAAAAAAATAGGGAATAAAATAAATTTCATAATGAAATATTTTTTCTTTACATTTTAGTTTGATTTTTCTTTTTCTAATGTTGATAAATAGAGCATATAATTTCCTTGTATCATTTCTTCAATTACTGGCGCGGGGTTTTCGAATTTTTCTTCTCTCATTTCTTTATTCCAAACTGAAAAAATAGCTCCTAAAAGAGATAGAAACTGCATTCAAAATGTATGTCTTTTAAAAGTAAATTATGATAAAATAAGGATACTTCACATACCATTTAACTTTGGATTATAAATACATTTAAAATATGCTTCAACAACGTCATCAATTGATGACCACCAATGATCAGGAATTCCAATTGCACCAGCTGTCATTCCAGTTCCTGATAGAGACTTTATTCAATACTGTAAATTATCTATAAATTCAAATATAAAATTTAAAATTATACTTACTGGTGACACTTGGACATACAGCATTAATAGTAATATTGTGTAATTCACTAACTTGCGCCATGGATCTCGTCAAACTAATGACCTAAAATAAAAGAAATTGTTTAAGCAAAGAAAAAAAATTTTTTTAAATAAAATTTAAAATTTGCGTTTTACACACTCCAGATTTAGTGGCACAGTAAACACCAAAAGTAAACACCGGATGTATTGCAGTGATTGAAGCCGTGTTAATTATAATACCACCTTGTGGATTATTTTGTTTTAAATATTGAAATGCAAGTTTCGTTCCTATAATAAAAGAAATCGTTATAATTATCTAATTGTTTCAGGGATAATAATTGAATTTTTTTACCGTAAATTACACCCATAAGATTGATTTCTATAAGTTTGCTAAAGTGTGTTGGTTCTTCTAGTGAATCTTGCAACATTCCGTTTTCAATATCCGTAATAGCAGCATTATTAATTACGATCTTAAATAAAGTAAATAAATTTAAATTCATTAAAAATATTTTATTCATAATAAATAAAGATTTCTTATAAATCAGTATAAACTTACATCAATTTGTCCAAATGTTTGTTTAGTTTTATCAAATAAGCTTATTAGTTCATTCCACTTGCTTACATCGGTTTTATGAAAAATTGCAATAATTTCTGACTTACTAATAAAAAAAAAAGATATTGTTAATTAATACTGATAAATGGATATGATATTATTTTTTTTTTCTTACTTTGCGTTAAATTCTTTGGCAATTTTCTCGCCGGCGTCTTCATTAACATCAGCGATAACAACTTTTCCTCTAAAAATAAGTTTCATGATTTATAATTATAATTTTGTAGAATCGAATTTATAATAAGTAAGCATATTACATTTACCCTTCATTGACTAAACGTGTCGCAATTGCTAAATAGTTTATCAGATATATAACAAGATTATAAAAACATGATGAGATTCATAATCTTTTTCTTTTTTGTTTTTTAAGAATACATACCGTGACCAATTCCCGAGGACGCACCTGAATTAACCAAACTTCTTAATAAATTTAAAAATGTCATGAAAATTATATAGGAATCACAATTTTGGAATAAATTAAATAAATTACCAGTAATAATAGCAACTTTTCCTTTGACTTGTTGAGTAGTCATTACGAAAAAAAAAATAGGAAAAAAAATTATCGCAATAATGTAATTCCGATGTTTGTTTATTTGTTCCTTTTAAAGTTCGCAAGTTCATATTTAATTGTAATAATTTTTTCGGAGTATCCAAATATAAACAAATATACAAATATTAATTTTATTGGTTAGACTATTAGTCCTGAGATTATGATCATCCGGATAATCAATTATCCATCGAAATGTCCACATCGTGACTTAAATCCTATACAATAGCACAAATCAAGGTTATTAACAGAGCAACATAAGTCATGCATCTAATGTTTGACTCATCGAAATTACTTTTTCAAATCCCATTTCTAATAATATTAAGAAATCAAATTGCACTTTCGACTATTATGAATTTACTTTAAGGACAGAATAACTCCTTTCTAATAACATAAATTTGTGAATAATTGATAAATAATCCAATTTTCAAAGGTATGATTTTAATTCACCTGTTACATCAAAATGTAAGTAGAGTTCCAATCCATCAATAAATTAGATAGATCAGATGAGCATTTTGTTGACGGATCGGATGACGGATTGAGATCGGATGAAGTCGAATCATCCGTCAGATCTGAAACCATTTTGCCCCTTTATGTTAGTAAAAAAAAATTTTTTTTTAACGTTCTGTAAAAAAGAGAAAAGGTATATTGAATTAACTAAAATTAGTTAGAGGGCAAATTGGTTGAATTCAGATTTTCCTTGATATCAGATGGATCACGTTTTTCGAATCACGGATGGAAAAAGCAATCATATGTTTAAGTTGAATTTTTTCCTTTTTATCATACAAATATCATTTTTGGTGCAAACTTGAATATGAGAATTTTTAATTAATAATGAGGTGCAATAGAATATAATAATTAAATATACCAATTTATTATTATTAAAAACTGAGAATAGTAGAAAATCAAAAAAGATAATCTTATCTAACTGATGATTTTGAAATATTTGGATATTATAAAACTTTTATAGTGATTCTCCTAATAGATATTGCTCATGAAGTAGACTTAGACACGTCAGGAAAAAAAATTTTTTGGGCATACGGTACTATATACTGTATATGAGAAATTGATTATCGACGGATCTAAAAGATATTTTATAAAGCACACTTCTATTTAATTCTTTTTAAGGTACAAATTATAAAGAAACAATATCGAAGTTCTTTGCATAAACTTTTAAAATCGAACCATATAGTAACTATATCAAAACTTTATCATAGAACTTATCGTAAAGATTTAATACCATATCGTGACCAAATCTTGATTATAAGTTAACGCGGATCGTATGTATAAAGTTGATGCATATTAAGGAGATCGTCACCTGATATAACCGGCTCGTGCAAAAATAGTATTGAAATCGAAAACATATAGTAAATGTATATTTAAATTATATTAAATGCATGTTTAAGTTATAGTAAACAAATATTAAAGTTGCAATAAAGTTATAGTTGATTTATTTTAAAGTTGATATATTATAAACTTTATTTTAGAAATATTAAATTGTTCTATCCTAAATCTAATTAATCATACGAATTATTCTAATCTATAAATAAAACTAATTGTTCAATAAACATAGATATAAATTTTCTTATAATGTTAAATGTTCTCTTAACTTTATTAATAACATTTTTTTTCAAAATTTCAAAACTTATTAGAATTCTGGTATCTAAAAAAAAAAATAAAAAAAAAAATAAATAAATAAAGGTTATTACGTATTAAAATGTTTTTGAAAAGAAAGTCTTTGAAAGTATTCTGAAACACACCTCCGGGGTTCCTGTAACAAAGATGGGGCTGGTGTCTTATGAAAGAGATAAACAACTAATGTTATTAAAATATCTTTTTAAATTTAGTTTCGAAATTATTTTGAAACTCACATTATCTTTCATAATTCCATTGTGAAGTTCTAAGATTTTCGCTTCTTGGTACTCATCTTTAATCCGACTTGGTTTAATTCAACTTTCACGACACTCTACAAAATCCCTAAGCTTAGAAAAGGTACCTCATCGATATCTAAAAAAGAAAAAATGAAACGTTAGTAAAACATTTTGCAAAAAAAATCTTTAAAAAAAACCTCCAAATCTCATCCCCCCGTCTAGAAAAGTCATCTAAAACAAAAGAATAAAATTCGAAAAACAAATAACCCCAATTTTCTTTCCTCATCCCATCTAAAAAAAAGATAAAATTTGAAACGTTAACATACGTTTCGTTAGAATAAATAAACTAAACCAGAGAAAAAAAACTTACCAAAAATGAATCCCACGTGTCCAAGAGACCCAAAGAACTACTGACCGTTCATTAAAATATATTCATTATAGAATTTGATTTTTTTTGTGGGTTTTCTTCAACTCTTTTTTAAATAAAATACGAGAGAAGAAGTAAAGGACGAGGGCAGAAAAACGAAATTTATCTTTTTATAAAAAAAAAATTAAAAATATGACGGTTAAACAAACCATAAAGAAAATAATTTTTTTAAAAAAAAAAGATATAAAACAATGAAGAGGAGAAGGAATGAAGAGAAAAATGAAGGAAAGAAATGGGGGAAAATGAAAGGTAAAGAGCAAAAGGGAAGATTTCGTTAGAGAAAAAAAGTTTAAAAGTTAAAAATAGTTTATTTATATTAATGATTGCTAAAAAAAGTTTAGATCACTATAGTTATTTTATAATATCACATGTATCACATGATACGTAAGGCTTTTCCCGATGTTAAAAATTTCAAATTTATTATAAAAAATATGAATAAAATAAATTGGCAGATTCATCGCTAAATAATATTTAATACATCTAAGAAATATCTTAGATTAATTTTCACTACTAATTCTCGATGTTATTTACCACCTATTCACCACCTATTTACCACCTATTTAATAGCATTTTACAACTTCGTAAAGATATGTTATCGCGAGATCGTTTGGTATTTTGATACCATGTCGTCACATGTTGGATAATAGATCGTTGTGATTTGATGGGATTTCTCAACTGCATGGTAACAAATCATGGGTTTCTGCAAAGTAGAACAAACTGCGAAAAAAAATTTTTTTATATTCTTCAGTTATATTTAGATTTTTTTAGTCCAAATTTCTTTTTATCGGATGATTAACCGGCTAACCTGATACTACAGGCATATTACACGAAACGGTGTGGTTCTTATAAATAACTAACCTTTAAAAGGTATTTTGTTAATCACATTTTTATTTTATTCTTTTCAAAATAGAAATTAACGGCACAAGTTATAAAGAAACAAACAATATCGAAGTTAAAATGAAAAAAAAATGAAATTGAAAAGAATAAAAATGAAATTGAAGGGGAATGAGGTTTAATAATTTGACTTTATGTAATTTTTTTTATATATATAAAATATTCTATAATTTATAATAATGCAATCAATCATTGTTCTGGCGTATTATCTTTGGCAGGTCCATTAAACGTAGCCTTAACTTTGCCGTTTTTTTCTTTCGATGGACTTTCGTCTTTTTGAGCATTTTTTCTTTAATGATTAAATTAATAAAATTAATAGATTTCTTTCATTGTTTTTTAAAAAGTAATAATATTATATTTGTATTTACCTTTCAATTAATTGATCTAAATTCAAAGGAGAGGCTGTTACGATAGTAGCCATAAGTACAATCAAGAGAGCAAAGAAGATTTGACGCGAATTCATTTTTATAGTGTTTGGATCTTTTTGTATTTTGATATTTTTAATTTCTTATTTAAAAGAATTATTTTTTAAAAAATTTTTATTTGATTTTCTGAATTAGTTGAATTGGTGAAATTCTTAAGTTGGAAAGCCATTTATATATTGATTTTTTTCAATAGGGCTTATATGCTTATATTCAACAAAACGAAATTAATTATACAAAAAATAATTGGAAAAAAACATTCAAACATTTCTTTCTTTCATTTTAATATAACGACAATTTATTTTTTTAAAAAAGAAAGAAAATAAAGAAAATAATTTTTTAAACGAATAATATTTTATCTTGCAGATGTGTAATTGGTTAAACTAAAAAAGGAAAATAAAGGAAAATAAAGATTATAGAAGTCCTTGTTAAACGTTTAATTTTGTGTAACGATAAATAATTATGCATTATATACTTTTTAATTGTTATATGATAAAGAAATTATCACCTGATCAATTAATACAATTTAATTGAAATTTTATGTGAACAAAGAGATTATGAATTCAAATTGTATCAGATATAATTTATCAAAGTGCGCGCAAAAAAAATAAATATAACAAAAATGTAAATATGATGCAAAAAAAACGCCCAAATCAGGTTGGTTGAAAATTACTTTTTTAACAACAGTCGAAACAAAATTTTATTTTTTAACCCTTTTTGAATATCTATTTCCTTGTTTTTTTTTAAAGAAAGAAAATAAAATAGAAATACATAACAATAATGTAAGAAAAAAATCTTTATGTAATTTCTATAGTACAGTATCATCATCCTTTCTTAATTGATCTTCGGATATATCAATACTCTTATTTATTTCGATTACATTTGTAGGAGGTTCTTCATGTTTTATATTTTGTCTTTCAGAAAAAGGTATTTTAAAATATAGCGCATCAAATGTTCTTCCAATAAGACTAAATATTATTGAAATACCAGCGGATATTAAAGAAAATATAGGAATTGGATCATATATAATACTATTCCGTTGTAAATACATACATGTCTACAGAATAATTGAATTATTTCAATAAAATTCGTTGGAATAAATAAATAAATAAATAAAAGATTGCTTACTCTAATTATAAATTGTGGTACATCTTCAATAAAGATGTTTGTAAAACTTCCCAAAATATTTTAACTTCTGCTTCTTTTGATATACTAGGTGCGCAAAAATAACGTAAATTTGCTAATCGTGAACTAATCACATTTAATATGGCGACGTCAGCTGAAGTAAAATTCATAAGCCACTTACTAAATTTTTCATTTGTATATTTTTCTTTTAATATTATTTATGTATAATGCGAGAATTGAATTAAATTCAATTGGTCCAACTAAAAACAAGATGCTTTAAAAATATTAATAGTTACTGTATTTTTGTATTTTTTTCTGATGAAATAAAATCATTATATACTAGTATATTTGAATTCTTGCCTGTGGATTTCGATACCTTACTATAGAGAATATAATTATGCTTCTCCCGAGAAAAAAATTTTGTTATTAATTCATACTCAATTGGTGAGAACAGCGGTAATTGTAATTAACATGACCAAAAAAAATAACATTTATTAAGAAGAATTGACGGTAATTCATGTTTGTATTTCGTTCTTTGTATATAAAATGTGTTTTCAAGTAAAGGACGAGGGCAGAAAAACGAAAGTTATCTTTTTATAAAAAAAATTAAAAATATCATGACGGTTAAAAAAACCATAAAGAAATAATTTTTTTTAAAAAAGATATAAAACAATGAAGAGGAGAAGGAATGAAGAGAAAAATGAAGGAAAGAAATGGATGAAAGATAAAGAGCAAAAGGGAAGATTTCGTTAGAGAAAAGCTAAGTTAAAAAAAGTTTAGATCACTATAGTTATTTTATAATATCACATGTATCACATGATACATAAGGCTTTTCCCGATGTTAAAAATTATCAAATTTATTATAAAAATATGAATAAAATAAATTGGCAGATTCATTGCTAAATAATATTTAATACATCTAAAAAATATCTTAGATTAATTTTCACTACTAATGCTCGATGTTATTTACCACCTATTCACCACCTATTCACCACCTATTTAATAGCATTTTACAACTTGTAAAGATATGTTATCGCGAGATCGTTTGGTATTTTGATACCATGTCGTCACATGTTGGATAATAGATCGTTGTGATTTGATGGGATTTCTCAACTGCATGGTAACAAATCACGGGTTTCTGCAAAGTAGAACAAACTACGAAAATAATTTTTTTTATATTCTTATATTTAGATTTTTTTAGTCCAAATTTCTTATTATCGGATGATTAACCGGCTAACCTGATACTACAGGCATATTACACGAAACGGTGTCAAATTAAAGGTTCTTATAAATAACTAACCTTTAAAAGGTATTTTGTTAATCACATTTTTATTTTATTCTTTTCAAAATAGAAATTAACGGCACAAATCATAAAGAAACAAACAATATCGAAGTTAAAATGAAAAAAAAATGAAATTGAAAAGAATAAAATGAAATTGAAGAGAATAAAAATGAGATTGAAGGGGAATGAGGTTAATAATTTAAGACTTATGTGATTTTTTTTGTATATATAAAATATTCTATAATTTATAATAATGCAATCAATCACGTCCTGGCGAAGGATCTATGCTAGGTCCCTTTAATGATTTTCCGAAGAATCTATGCTAGGTCCCTTTAATGATTTTCCGAAGAATCTATGCTAGGTATCTTAAACGTAGCCTTAACTTTGCCGTTTTTTTCTTTCGATGGACTTTCGTCTTTTTGAGCATTTTTTCTTTAATGATTAAATTAATAAAATTAATAGATTTCTTTCGTTGATTTTTAAAAAGTAATAATATT